GTATCGGGAGACTACTAGATATGGAGTAGTCTTGTATATATAAGACCGGCCAAGAAGCGACGGGAACAATGTGTAATTGAACTGCCGACAGAGGGAGAGTATTGTTGAGTCGAGCACGTGAGACGTTCGTTGTGAATTATAGCGTTTGTTATAGCGCGACTGTGGAAATTAAGTGCATTGCAAAGTTGTATTCAGAGAGAATAAACCAGTTTTATTTAAGAAAGGACTTGTTTCTTCGGAAAGAATTTTTACGGAAAATTAACTAACGAACAGAGACGTAACAGTACAATAAAGAATAATTTAAGTTTTTGAACCTGAGCCATGAGATGTGTATAAAACTATAACCGTCATTACAGATACTTAAAAATAAACACTGTTATCAGAAGAAAAAATATATAACCATTATGTTCAACAGAAAACTTGTTTCTAATATGTTCATGAAAACATTACAAATAAAAAATGCATGAAGTTTTCTGAAGTGTTTTTATGTACATGTCCTAGAGATTAGATGTGGATAAAAGTTTTTAAATCTTAATGTCTAAAAGGTTTCTATAAGCATTATAAAGGTCAGTTTTAGACAAAAGCACATATCCTTATTAAAAAATTATAATATTTTTTATAGACTTTCTAGAAGTTAACTTTAGATAGATAAACTGTTGAATTCTTATAAGGTTTGTGCATGATTTCCAAATTCCATCAACTGTGGGTAGATGATGATGACTTCCAAGGGCCTGTCTGAATAACCCAAAGGCACATAAGTCCGTGAGAGATGTCTGTGAATGGTAGAGCATGAATTATATTTGTACAAGTTCAGTTGAACATGTAGCTGAATGTTTTTTTGTTTTTTTTTGTTGGTGGAGTCATACTTACTTGACATGCTCTCTATATGCAGGTGGCATTCACTTACAGTGTAGGGGTTTTAGCATGTTACACTCCAAAATTTATATTTTTCTTTATTCTGTAGCTGTTCAACTTACCATTATAGCTATATTTTGCAACCACCATAAAACACTGGGTAAACTTTCACAACATGCTCTATACATTTTTTGAAATGTTTGATCATTGGTAGAATTATAATAAAATGTCTAAACTTTTGCAGACACAACTTAATGAAACGTATGCTTTGTCTAATGTAACAAAATCTGTCATATGTCAAGAATTTCTTGTACAGCATTCAACAGTTGATTTTTCCATTCAACTATCTGTAGAAGCTTGGGAACATACTCTTGCATGTTTTTGTAGATTTTAAATCTGTGTGAATTATCTTATGCACAGTAGCAAGAGCAGTTCCTACTTTACTTTAGTTGCAATGGATCCCTGTGTTCTTAGGATACTTCATGAGATAAGACATTTAACTTTTATCACTACCCCTGTTATCCAACTAGTAGTGACTCTTGAAGTGTCCTGCTTTTTTTCTTACTGGGATCAAGCTCATTTCTTGACCAATACAGCTCAACACTAAAGATATTTCTGTCTTTGAAATGCTTAAATTTTGCATCTTGCATTCTTTTTTAATTGTAGAAAGGAAAACTTTGTGTTAGAAAGTCATGTAATGTAACTTTCCAGAAGAGTCAATTTTAGATGCCAGGTGCACAAGTAAATCATCATAATATGGACTGCAACAAGATTGTCAAGACTTTTAATGTATGTAGTCACAGGTCAAGGGGATGGCAAGTATACATTTCAATAAATCAGTTTCACAATACTAAGTTCCTGATGTTGAACTCTGGAAGAAATGCATGTTTAAGTGGGTAAACTATTAGTCACAAATTTTTGTTGATTTTTATCAATCTCGTAATGTTTATTGATAAAAATATTGGGAAAAATCTATTAAATGATGAATTAAAAATGTTATTTATTTGGAATTCTGACTCAGAATATGAAATAAGAAATAGTAATTGCCTGAAATCAGGGGTTAAATTAGAATAGAATGGGTCCAAAACTGTGTTCTGTTTCTTGAGGATGCAAGCTATTAGAGTTTCCAGTCTTCTGATTGGAAGAAAGAAGTGCTCTGTAGTATCACAGCTAATACAAACTGGATCACAAAAGGTAATTCCATTTCTTTCAAAATCCCAATTTAACCACTGCGTGAAATTGTTAAATTTATTGAATATGGGCAAATAAGATTCTCAATAAGCAAAGATTTTTTCGAAATGATGAATGAATCACCAAATGTATGCTGAGAGCCAAATGTTGGTTAATGTGCTAACACACAGGTTTTCCAGAAGTATATAAACCCAAAAACAGAAAACCGTTGTTAAATGATATTGTTGAAATAAAAACGAAGAGAAAAATTGAGAAAGATATCAAGTGATGAAATAACTAAAAAAAAAGCTGATGAAACTGGTCAATTAAAATTTGTGGCAAAATCAAATACTTACTATAAAACAGCTAGCAGGTAAACATGATTTTATCAGAAAGCTAGGACAGTGTTAGGAATATTAATATGAAAGAAAATGTATATGATTGCTGTGAGAATTGATGGGTATCACTTTTGTCGGTCAAAACTGTACTACTCCTAGCTCTTGTTTTGAAATTCAGAAACTGTGTATTCTGCACTGATTAAAAAATATTTTTTTGTTGTGAATCATCTTACTTGTAAATTGTCAATCAAATGTCCTGAACAGTGTTTTATTGTGTATTGTTATGGCTTTGCAGTGTGTGCTAACAAGTATTTTAAGTATGAACTGCATAATGGCAGCATCAATTTTGAAAGGAAGAGGCCCTAAAAACTTGGATAAAATGGTCTTGAAAAGTACTTGAAAATCCTAGAAATTTGTTTTTTTAATAGAGTTTCGACCATGATTAATGTTGAGTTACTTTTTACACCGTAGAAAGTAGCTACAGACATGTAGCTGCAAACAGTACTTGTAATGACTCAACAGGCATTAACTGCAGAAGTTTATAGTCTTCTGACATTTTTCAATTGCAACAAACACTGACATCAGAAGTCTGTAGCCGTATTTATATTGATATATTTACTTGCACAAAATAACTCAGGGCATTCTGTATCTATATGAAATGGTTATAGCCATTCTACAGACATTGGCTTTAAAAATATATAGTCTGTCTGTGTGGAGATTCTTTAATTGCATGGAGTAGCTATGAGTATTCTGTAGCTGTGTGATATAAGATAAACTAACCACTCTACAGCATAAAAAAAATTAATAATAGTTATTTTCTTATACATTATTACAAATGCTTACACAAATAACATATTTAGAAATATATTGTAGTTTCATGTACATGCCAAACACTGAACTGCACTAATCCTGCCCCTGAGAATGGTCACACATGGTTGAAGGCTTAGCTAAAGAAATATCTATGATCAAACCTGGCTGACTTGTTAATGAATTTTTATGATTGGGTCTTAATAGTTTTTGATATGTTGATTGTAACTGGAGACAGAGATATTGGAAACTCTGGTTTCCCTTTTCTGTTAATGAGCTTTGCTTAATGATGCGAGTAACTTGGCATTCTAGCCAGAGATATCAAAATTTACAAATTTATGATAGAATTCTAAGCTAAACTATAATGTTGATAATTACCTTGGTCTTTGTCAATTGAGAATGCTTCTCTTATATAAAGTGGTTATAGACTTTTAAAGACTGGCTTTAGAAGTATATAGTCTGTCTGCATTTAATTTATTTAGTTTAGTAGGAATGACAACTATTATATACCCATATTTTAAATGTAAGACACTCCCAGAATAATATTTTGTATATTTACTGATTTATTTCTTTTGTTTTGACATAAATAGTAGTAGGTTAAGAAAACAGTGATTAAAGTTAAGGCTTAACAAGAATAAATATAGTTTAAATTTCCAGATAGTTTTCAGCAAAATTCTGTACATTCAAGGTGCTGTTTTAATAGTTAGATTAGTGATTATTTATTTTTAAAAAACCTTCAGATTGAGAAATGTATGGATGAAGGATAAAAATTGTTTAATCAAATGATATAGACTTTCTGGTATTATGTTGTTGTTTTTTATATACACAACAAAGCTGTATGTCAAACTCTATAAAGTTCCATAAAAAATGTGTGAATTACTGAAAGCTAAGTCAATAATTTTCCATATTTGTGGGATATAAGTATTATAAAGCTACTCAACCATATAAAAATAAAAGGTCAAATTGGCAAATTAAGTGTAATTTTTATTTTTCATGCTGTTATTAACTATGTATATGTCTAGTAAAATTACAATTTTTTTTCTTTGACTACCAAAGATCCTGTATAGTTCTGATAATGTAGAGGAACATCAAAGAAGAGAGGTTTTCTCCCAACATGATCGACAAATTAGACAGCAGGCAATGCAGATGGACATTACCTTAGGTTTACCAGCCACAATAACTTTACCAGATGGTGAAGAATTCCCGTATAATAGTTTAAAGTCTATCCATTTGCAGGATTACTGTCAAGACAATGAAATTCTTAGAACTTGGATAAAACCACCTCCAAATAGAACAGTATTTGAAGAAGAGAGTCCTCCTCACTATCAGTCAAACTCTTTTATTCTTTTATCAAAGCCAGCAGTCTTGCAGAATTCAAATATTACTCCCCTAGTCATACATTCAAACAGAATTAGTCTAGATTTTAATGCTTGTTTTCCCAATAATCAGTGTAGTTATGTACAAGAACCTTGTAATTCCATGCTCCATTCTAATGTTAGGATACCTAACATGATGGCCACCAGAGATACCACAGGTGGTAGTTCAGACAGTAGAGATATATCTAGTAAGACACAGTCTTTCTTTACTGCATCAGATCCACCTCCCTTCTACAGTGACCTCACTATCAGTCAAAACCAAGACCTTTCTAGTGATACCACCATCAGTAAAGTCTGACCTCTTGTCAAGTTGAGTAAACAGGAAGTATTTCTGTGGAAGAAATGTGATATGTAGCCTTTGTCACCACATAAGGAGGGTGATGTCACATACAAACAAAGAAGAGCCACTCCTGGAGGACCAGAATCAGAGCTATCTGTAATGATAGCTGCTGATAACCCAGTGTAAGAGTGCCTCAGATAAAGTTGTGATTATCTTTGATTATTCACATGTAAACAGTTTTGCTTTTTTTTTCTGTGCTACTTGCTCTCAACATCCAATGTATTGTAATGTCAGAGACATTAATGGTTATTGATACATGGTGTGTGTTTTTTTTCTTTCAAAGAAGTAAATGAATAGATGAAATTTACATTCTACAGCTTCATTTTCCAACATACTTCATATTTTTTGACTTCTGGTGTCCAAGACACTGATTTGTAAATTGTGTAATTTCAGTTATAAGAGTAAATGTAGATACATATGAAAGAGTAACTATATATGTGAATGTTAGGAAATTTAAAAAGTGACTTCTGTCATGATCAGAAGCATGGACTATAAGGAAATGTACAAAGACCTGCATTATTCAGAGTTACTGCAGGAAATGGTGCTATACATGGTTAAAGAATATATTAGTTTACTTGAGAAAGAAGGGCTTAGACCAGACAGAATTGGGTGCATGGTACAGAATATTCTTGTTATTATAAAATTTATGATAATTTTTAAGCAAAGTGCCCTTTTCAAGCTTTTATCTTCTTGCGTGTAGGCCTTCAAGTGATTTTTTTTTCGTTCCACATTTCCGGTTTAGAAGTATTGTGTATTATTTTCTAATATTACAGTTTTTCTCAAAGAAAGACAAGTATTTTTTCTTATATAATCGTTTTCAAATTTTTTATTTCTCTTTCGTAGAAAGTCTACAAAATATGCACTAAGTGTTAAAATAAGTTTTCATATACAGAATAGAATTATTTATCATCTGTGATTTTTTAAAATTTCTAGTTAGTCAACTTTGTTGTAATGAAATTTAACAGGGTATCAAAAGAAAGTGAAATTTTCAGTTTGTAAAGACCCCAACCCAAAAGTGTAGCAGTTTTTGTTTGTTTTTGTCTCATATCTGTAATTCTGGTCAACAGTGAAAATCCTGTGTGTTAGCTTGTAGTAGTTGTTGCATGTGTTGTTGTCATACTGTGCTGTGCCAAGTATGTAAAAAAAAAAGAAAAGCAAAAGCTTTTTCTATTGTTGTGTTATTGTTATGTGTAATTTATCAACTGCTTTGGATCGGGGTTTTAGGTTGTGTCTGTTGATACAGTTGAAGAAAACTGTACTTTTCCACTAGATGGTATTTACACTTTCAAAAGTCTTGAGCATTTAAATGGATATTAAGAGGTCACCTCATTCTTAAATATATTTTTTATGCTTCTACATAACAACTCAGATGGGTTTGAATGATTTAACATAGTCTAACAGTATTGTCAAAAGTTACAAGGATAGCAATATGTGTTTCTTACTAGATAGTTTAGTACTCTTGCACGGTGAAATCAGTGAAGTAGCACAAAAATGTATAAGTTTTGAATGTCTTAGTATTTCCAAAACTTAGAAATTAGATTTTTTGTTTGCAGGAGATTTAAGTTGATAAACCATTATTGTAATTTAGATAAATCAAAAGGACAGGACCACAAAATACGTTATAAAAGTACATAGAGCAAAAATTTGTCCACCACAAAACAGATGTAGTTAAAAAACAAATACATTTGACCACTCTAATTTAATACTCACTTTAAAAACACAAACTTAAGTGAACTAATCTTTACTTTCTTTGGTTTTATTCTATTTGTCTTATTTGAATGTAGTTTATTTGTAAAGTTGGTAAAAACCCCAACACTTAATCAGTTTTTTCATACTTACGAAGTCTTCTGAAAACTTAATTCCCTCTCTCTCTCTCTATATATATATATATATATATATAATATATATTTAAAATTTCTTATCCTTTTTCATTTTATATAAAACCCATTGTTTATTTATTCCATTGCTATGAAAAAGTAAAAATTTATAATTTTCCCATTCATATGATTATATTCAAAGTGTACTTTTTACAATAAACATTTGTTAGTATTGATAATAGGTGTAATAATGAGAATAGTCATCTCTAATTGGAGTAGGGTTGAGATTTGACCAAGAATAATTGGTCAATTGGCCAACCAAATATTGTCAAAGACAGCCAAATATTACTTAAGAAATACAAATAAATATTGGTGAGCATTGTTATGTATTACAATTTTGAAAGGTCTGAAACTAAGTTAACTGATACTTTAAATTTAGTAGTTAAATGGTACTTTGGATTTAGCAGTTAAGTAAAAGCTGATATATAGTCAGATTATGATATTTGCCAACAAGATTGATACACAAAGTTTTCTTTTTGAACACAAATATGTTTTAATATACAAACAACAATACAATTTACAAAAACAGTTATTTCAAATAGTTATTATAAACAATGATTTATATACAAAAATTTTACAAACAAGGAATATAAAGTCTTCTTTCTAGTCTGGAACTTCCTTGATGTCTTATTGAGGGTTCACGATGAGCGAGTTAATTATGAGTTGATGTAAGCACAATTCGCATAATGCGGAGCTAGCTAGCTTTGTCCTTCATTATTCACCAGCCACACATATCGTGTTTTCCACAATCAAGCTATATAATGTTTTCGTAAAATACTAATGTCCGATGAGAATCCATTGAAGGTAAATTATTTGTAATGTTCGAACTTTGTAGATGTTCCTGGTCAAATATCTGAAGTTTTCCAATTGATAAACATTATAACAATCACAGTTATAGCTTCCGAAGTTTATAGCACACTGACTATTGCAAACCTATAATAGATACTCCATTTTGGCTCATCGCGTTGGTTATATTTATAGGTGTGTGGAGAGTTTATAGAAAATTCAGATTACCTAACAATACAAAGCTACACTAGCATTTACGTACACACATATATTGTTGATTCTTACACTCAAGAATCTTTTACAACATTAGAGAATAGGCTGGAGTTTCGCAATACA